TTGAATTGAATTGAATTATAGAGAACCCTTTACTGATGGAGAACACCTTACTTATAGAGAACCCTTTACTGATGGGGAACACCTTACTTATAGAGAACCCTTTACTGATGGAACATGGAGAACCTCTGACCTTTGACTGACCTCTACCCTCTGATCTCTGCCTTCCTGTCACTGTGGTTTATGTCTCATTCACCTGGAAGATAAGGACTTTGAAGTTGTTCCTGTTGATCAGGTGGGCGTGATTCGCCTCCAGCTTCTTCACCTGGAGTCCCTGACGCTCCATCTTATCTCGTACCTGCAGACACACAACCAGTGATCAGACCAGTTTAAATCTACCTGTACAGGTGTGACCAAACCAGCAACCAGTCTGTACCTCCTTCATGGTGACGGACAGTTTACGGCTCTTGTCCAGCAGTTTGCTGACCGTGTTGGAGGTGTGACTGTGGCTCTTGGACAGTTTGGTCATATCAGCCTGGATCCCTCTGACCACACCCTCCATCTCCACCTGGTGCACCTGAAACAACCATTAAGACATCATCCTGGATGCTGACTCACTCGACAGTCCAAGTGAGGAAGTCGAGGAAGGTTTGACAACGAATCCGCTGCTTGAGATTCCTGATGTTTGTTTGTGTACTACAGTAGCTAGAAAGCTAACCGCTAAAATTATGTTGTTTGGACTGTTCGTTAGCTTATTAGCTCATTATCTTAGCTTGTTGCTAATGGAACAATAAGTATCCACAGTTCATTAAAAGCTGCATTAACATGTAACATGTTTCTAATAAAACTGAAAATAAGTTAGCTTCCTCCATTTTGGACTCTGTGGCTATCCACTCCCACAGCTCTGTAAGGAAGGCTTATTATTGGTCATTTGTGTGAATTTACAGGTCAAAGTTCATTATGTTGAATTTCACCTGTGAGTGAATACTCTGGATGCTGCAATTCCAATGAAATTAAAGTAGTAAAATGTTTAAATGTTGAATAAAACTGAGGATGTTTGTGATGGAAAAACCTTTGAGCTTTCCATGCACTTACACTTCAGTATTCTCTCATGTGCTAGAAGCTCTTCAGTAACCAGTTTCCTCGGAACATTTTAAGGGTTAGTCCCTTAAAATTAAATAATTAATAGAACATTAGACAACATCTCAATTAATCCTGATTGAAGTAGGAGATAATAAACCAGCTCAGCTCAGTTCCACAGTTTCTTTATTTAGAATCTCGTTTCAATCTGACTTTAGTTCTTTTTATGGACACAAATCTGTAAATGTTTCTGCAGACAGTCTGTTAATGTGTGAGAAAGGAGCTGGTTTTAAAACCTGTTGTAACGTGTTATTAAAGAACACTGTAAACTACAATCAACACATTACAGTAACAGGAAGTAGCTCCAGAGCCAAAGAGTTATGAGTTTTTTTGTCTCCATCAGTACAGTTTTAGCTAAAGCATCTTAATATGACAAAAATCTTAGGAATCCTCTCTGACAACAGAGTTACACATCTGCTAACCAGCTTACTTAACTTGCAGCTATGGGTGCTGCTGTGGGTCATGTGACTTCTGAATGTGAGACAAAATTAGATCTTTGTATTCATAAGAGATAAAAACACCAACCGAGGCCAGAGAGAGAAGACAGAGAACACATAGACGCTAAATCTGCACTTTTTTCCAGTGGAGTTTGGTTTGGACTGCCCTGTACTTTTCTGTATGTCACTGTTCATGGAGTTTGGTTTGAACCAATTTTCTGTTGCCCTGAGCCTGAATCCTGTCTCTATTGGTGTCTGTTGTGGACTCCCACACTCAGACCTGATGTTAAGGTGTGGTCCTGCCCCTGGCTCACCTCCATCTTGTTCTGATTTTCCTGCACGGTGTCCAGCATGTTGACCAGTTTGTCCAGCAGAGTTAGGACCGTGATGGCGTTGACGGGACCCTGACTCATTGTCTCCGGGTCGAATCCTGCCAGGGGGGACGAGGGGGAGGCCTGGTTCTCATCCTGCTGCTCCTGCTGCTGGTCCAACTGGTCTAGCTGGTCTAGCTGGTCCTGGTTCTGTGTGGGGACCAGCAGGTCCTGGGTCTGGTGGGTCTCAGTGGTCACCATGACGAGTCTGTCCTCACACACAACTTAACTTCGAACCCAAAAACGAAAAACACCAAAAACAGCAGAAAGTTTACTGCTGTAGAAAAACTGTGGAAACTCTACCTCGCCTGCCCTCTCTGTCTGTCTCTCTCTC